TGTTCTGAAAACAAGCGACCTTCGCCCACCCCTTGGTCGGGATGTTCCAAAAGCGAAGGACTTTTCTCTTGCTTCGAGTGATGGCGAGCAGGGGTTGCGCCCGCGGTTCCAAGTATGTCCGACATGAAATTCCAAAGAAATTGTATATAAGTGATCGGCTTGTGTTATATATATTGAATTTAGTATCCATGCGACCACATATAAAGATTGACTATGTCGTTAAATAGATCAAACCGAATTTGCAAATGGCATGTTGTGAGAAATCAATGGTAGATATGACAATTCGTAAAAAAGGTAATCACAACTTGACAGAAATTCGTAATCATAGAAACTGATGATTTTGACAATTCTTGAACCAAATTTCGCTTCGAGCTAGATTAATCCAAGGCATAAAAAAGGTAATCACAACTTGACAGAAATCCGTAATCATAGAAACCGATGATTTTGACAATTCTTGAACCAAATTTCGCTTTGAGCTAGATTAATCCAATTTTCTCGGGCATAAAAAAGGTAATCACAACTTGTAAATGACACGTTTATACATAATATTTTTTGAGATTAGCTACATTCCACGACCTGGCTAGCGATCTGCCCTCAGCATCCTTCAAGGAATATACTCTTCCTGCATGGACTTTCTCGACCAAGTATTGTCCTTCCCAATTAGGCTCCAGCTTTCCTACATGTTTGAGCACGTCCACTCTTTTCCACACTAAATCGCCCACATGAAATCGGTGGATTATTACTTTCCTGTCATGGGCTGCTCTCATCCGTTGTTTGTACACCTCCACTCTGGTCGAGGCTTTTTCCCTGAGTTCTTCAATTGTATCCAAGGCAGCTAACATGAGTTCTTCATTCTGCTCCCGGTTATAAGTTCCTGCTCGCTGGGATTGCAATTCTAGTTCGACCGGCAACAGCGCTTCCATCCCATAGACCAGGCTGAACGGTGTCTCCCCAGTGGTCGACCTCGGGGTAGTTCTGTAGGCCCAGAGTACAGATGTTAGCTCATCGACCCACGCCCCCGCGGCTTTCTCCAGTCTTGTCTTCAGTCCATTCAATATAATCCTGTTAGTCACTTTCACTTGTCCATTAGCTTGTGGGTGGGCGACTGAGGCAAAGTGCTGCTCGATTCCCATCTCCTCACACCACGCCCTAACTCTCTTGCCGTTGAATTGGGTTCCATTATCAGATATTAAGACTTTGGGAACTCCGAACCGACAACAAATGTTGTTATACAGAAATTGGATTACTTTCTCCTCTGTGATCTTGGCCAGCGGCTCAGCTTCCACCCACTTCGTAAAGTAATCGACTGCCACAATCAAGAATTTTCATTGCCCTGTCGTATGCGGCATTGGCCCTACCAGGTTGATTCCCCACTGCACGAACAGAATTGGTGCACTCATAGTGGTCATTGTCTAAGCGGGTTGGTGGATAAGCGGGCCGTGTTTCTGACATTGCAAGCAACTTTTGGTCATCTCCTTGGCATCCGCCTTCATTGTCGGCCAGAAATAGCCTGCTCTCAAAATTTTTGCCACCATGGCTCCAGCCTTGTTGTGGTCGCTGCAGCATCCTTCGTGTACCTCTTTGAGGACGTACCGACCTTCTTCCTTGGTCACACACCGCAAATGTGGTCCGGCATACGACCGTTTGTAAAGAATCCCTCCTTGCTCGAAAAACCTTCTCACTACTTTGATTGTTCCTTCTCTCAGCTCTTTCAGGATCGGAGCTCTCCAGTCTTCGACTTCCTCGATCTCTACCACTTCTGCTTTGACCACACTTCTTTCCATGTGGATCAGGGTCACACTTATGCTCTTACAGTCTACCAAATTTTGAGCAATTTTAGATAACAGATCGGCTCGACCATTCTCTCCTCTTGGTATTTGCATTAACTCGAAAGATCTGAATTTTTCCTTCAGCCTCTTCATGTCATTCACATAACGCTGCAGCATGTCCTCCTTGATCTCAAAACCCTCCTGAAACTGTCCGACCACCAGCTGGGAATCAGAGTGGACTTGGATTTGTCGAGCACCTCCGGCCAGGGCTAACTGCAGCCCCTTAATCACCGCCTCGTATTCTGCCTCATTGTTTGACACTCGAAACCCCATTTTAACAGCAAATTCCAAGTAATCTCCTTTGGGCGACACCAGTACTATGCCCAAGACTGCTCCACTCCTCGAAACTGAGCCATCCGCGAACATTTGCCACATTCCCTCCATTTGCTCTTCCTCTTTCGTACCTTCCTGAATAAAGTCGGCCAAAACTTGCGCCTTGATCGCCCTCCTTGGTTTATAAAGGATATAGTATTCGCTTAGCTCGACCGCCCACTTCACTAGTCGACCAGACACTGCTGGTCGGCCTAAAGTCTGCTCCAGAGGCATGTTTGTTCACACCTTGACCTTATGGTTTAGAAAATACGGTCTCAGCTTTCGAACCGTCACGACCACCGCCAATGCACATTTCTCAATCTCTGAGTACCTCAACTCTGCTCCTTGCATTACTCGACTGGCATAGTATATTGGGAATTGTGCCACTCCTTCCTCTCGCAACAGCACCGAGCTTACCGCATTCTCACCCACCGATATGTAGAGCACAAGTTCTTCTCCATGTATTGGATTAGCTAGCAAGGGCAAGTTTGCCAGCACCTCCCACAACTCTTTGAAGGCCTTCTGGGCTTCCTCCGTCCACTGGAACTTCGAGCTCTTCTTCAACGTCTTGAACAGAGGGCCACTCTTCTCAGCCACTTTAGAGATGAATCTGCTCAACCCCGCTATTCGACCAGTTAGTATTTGAACCTCCTTCACACTGATAGGTGGCTTCATTTCTATCACCGCTCTCACTTTCTCAGGGTTTACCTCTATTCCCCGCTTTGTCACCATATAGCCCAAGAATTTTCCTTCTTTTACACCAAATGAGCACTTGGCTGGATTAAGCTTCATGACATACCTCCTTAGTGTTTTGAAAGTCTCCCTCAGGTCACCCACATGATCTGCCTCCACCTTGCTCTTCACCAGCATGTCGTCGACATATACCTTCATATTCTTCCCTAATTGGTCTTTGAAAATCTGGTCGACTAGTCTTTGATATGTTGCCCCAACATTCTTTAACCCAAATGGCATAACTACATAGCAATAGGTGCCTTTGTTCGTTATGAAGTTTACCCTCTTCCAATCCTCCTTCGCCAGGGGAATTTGATGGTACCCTTGTGAGGCATCCATTAGACTGAGCAGCTCACACCCCACCGTGGAATCTACCAACTGGTCAATCCGTGGTAGTGGGTACAGATCCTTCGGGCATGCTTTATTCAGGTCGCGAAAGTCGATACACATCCTCCATTTCCCTCCGGATTTAGACACCATCACCGTGTTAGACAACCACTCTGGAAACTGGATTCTCTTGATATGCCCGGCGTTCAACAACTTTTCGACCTCCTGCTCGATAATTTTGTCCATTTCCACGCCATGATGCCTCCTTTTCTGTTTCACTGGCCTTACGCTGAGATCAATATTCAACCTATGCTCGATCACCCTGGCTTCGATCCCCGTTAGCTCATCCGCTGTATACGCGAAGATGTCTGCAAACTCCCTTATTAGACTGACCAGCTTCGACCTGATCGGCTCTCCCAAATCCTTCCTGATCCTGAACTTGCGATCATCACACCCCTGCACCATCTGAACTTCTTCGACCTCGCCCCCTGGTTGTATGTCTATCTTCTCTTTTCCTTTATCCTGCCATCCTCTTTCCTCCTTCGTTCTCGACCCTCCTAGTCGATCGGGCCTCTCTTCCTTGCCTTTCAATTGCTTTTCTGCCATCTGCTTGTTATTGCTGACTGTAGTTTGGTAGCAACTCCTCGATGTGAGCTGGTCCCCAGCAATCTTGCCCATATTTTTCCCCACAAGATATTTGATCGTCATGTGGTATGTAGACACGACCGCTTGGAACGCGTTTAAGCCTGTCCGTCCCAGAATGATATTATAAGATGATTCTGCACTAACCACTACGAATCGGACCATCCTTACTTTCCTCGTATCGCCCAACCCCAACGCTACAGTTAGGCTCACTTCGCCCATTGGCATCACCTCCCCTCCATTAAAACCATATAAGGCTGTCGCCACCGGTTTCAACTCCAGATTTAAATGTTTATTGATCTGCGTGAAGCAGTCATAGAACATCACATCGACCGAGCTTCCAGTGTCGATGAACACCCTTTTTACGTCAAAACCTGCTACCTCTACCGTGATGACCAGTGCGTCATTGTGGGGTAGCAAGATCTCCTCCGCATCTCCTGCTCGAAAGCTGATCACTGGCATTCGATCAGTTATCCCAACCTCCTCCCTTTTGCGCTTCACAGCTCGCACATGCCCCTTTCGTGCATTGTTCGAATCTCCATCTGTGGGCCCTCCTGAGATCATATAAATTGTGCCTCTCTTCGCGGGCACCTCCCCCTTTGGCTCCTCTCGATCATCATTCTGTCGCCTCCTTCTTTCTCTTCTAGCGTCGTCTTCCCTATCATCATCCCTATCACTCCTTGCCACTGAATCCTCCCTGCACCTTCTTCTTTCTTTACCCCGCGGTCGATCACGGATAACGAATTCTTTCAAGTGCCCTGCTCGTATGAGATGCTCAATCTCATCTTTCAAATGCCTACAATCCTCCGTGTTATGTCCATAATCTCTATGGAATCTGCAGTATTTATTCGACCTGGGTTTGGTTGGTCCCTCGAACCTGGTCGCCAGCCACGTGACCTCCTTTCTTTCCAACTTCTCCTCGATGGCCGCCAAGACTTCTCCCACCTGGGCGTTGATAGGAGTGAAATGGTTATATCTTTGGCCATTTGGTAACCAGGGTCGTCCTTGCCAGCGATCTTCTCGTCCTCCATGGAACGAATTTCACCCATCCCTTCTGGGCGACAGCTTCTTAGAGGATCCACCTTTTGGGGAACTTTTTCTAGGTGATCCCCTCCTGGGCGAGCTCAGCCTTCCCTTCCTTTGCTCAGGTTTCACTACCTCCTCAAGCTTGGCAAACTCAGCTTCCGTTTCTTCTAAATTAATGTACTTCTTGCATCTCTTAAGCACCTCGTCGTAAGTTCGAGCAGGCGTTTTTGCCAATGACGTTCGACATGGTCCTGGTCGCAGGCTCCTAATCAATCCTCCTGCCTTCACCTCATCGCCCGCCGTGGGCGCCTTTATGTATCGAGCAACATATTTCCGCAGGGACTCCTTCTCACCTTGTCGCATCGCCATCAGAGTGAGGTATGTCTTCTCCTGGGCGACCGCGCTTGAATATTGATTAGTAAGTTGTCTTGCGAAATCCTCAAAGTCTCTGATCGAACCGGGAGCTAATTGGTGGAACCAGTCGAGCGCGCCTCCTCGTAAGGTCGACAGAAAAGCCCTACAACTGACCAGATCCGAATACCCGTGTAAGACGGACATGTTTTCGAATGCCCTCACATGCCTCGACGGGTCGCTCGACCCGTCAAAAATCAGATTTATCTCCCAGAAACTCGCAGGCAGCGGTGCAGCTAGAATTTCCCTCGAGAACGGGTGTCCTCGAGCACGCCTGTCCAGCCTTCCCTCCACCTTCTCCTGCAGCAGCTGGAGCTGCTCAGCCATCCTCTCCATCGCTCTATCTCTGTGCTTTCCTCCTCCGCCATAACTCGACACGTCCTTCTCTTGGGTCCCCGGTATCGTGGTCGGTGTGGTAGCAGCCTGGGATGTCTGGTGAGTGACCTGCTGCACAGCCTGCGCCGCCGCGTTGGCCATCATCCTCTGCATCTCTTCCCTCGTCATGGTCACCATTTGTTGGGCAGGGGGTTGCAGTGCTCCTCCTGTTGGCGGCACCATTGTCTGCACCGATGGTCCAACCTGTTGCGCCACAACCGGGCCTGCTGGCAACGTCATGGGGACTGCTGTCGGTGCTGCTTCACGAGTTTCGTGCTCCCTGCTCGTGCCTTCTCCTCACCCGGGATCGCTGCACTCTGAGGCATCGGCGTTGGGGCCACCGGTGTTTGTGATGGTCCGGAGAATCCAGGTGGAGGTCCTGCTCCCATCGGTCTTGTCGTCATCCATGCTTCATCAAACGACGACTGCAAATTCACTCGAGGAACTCCGTCCGCCATAGCTGAGCTCAGACACAACTTTTTGAACGAGAGTCCCACAGACGGCGCCAATAATACAAGTCTCGCACCCCGACGGGCTGGAAACCACCTCAAGCTCTTTCTCCTCACCGGTTGAACGCGGAACCTGCACGAAACTCCCACACCGGAGGTGCTTTCCGGTGAAGAGCCTCCAACGCTCAAGTCAGATCTTGAGAGATAATATAAGTGTGAGGAAAAATGTAAGAGTATGAGAGATTGTGTTCAAAGTGAGGATTCTCGCCCCTATTTATAAGGGCGAGCTACCTGTTCTACACGCGCGAGTAGGGCGAGTTCGGGCAGCTGTCCTCTGCTCGTTCGTACAACCGCGTGCCTCCACTACCCTTGATGTCAGGAAACGCGTCCCATTTGTCAGAGAATGTCAGAGTTCGTTATAGCCATAAGCTGCTCTTAGAACGCCACGTGTCCTCCCTTTCACGTGCTGGAGATTCCCTTATACGCTCCGTTGTTCGACCAATTCTGTACGACCACGCCCTATCCGACCATCCTTCCTCGACCAACTCCTCGAGTAACCCGCATCTGTCGACCACTTCTGATCCCATTAGTCTCTGTTGTTCGCTCTCTGTCCCCCATTGCAGGTGTCTGGTCCAGCTCGACCATATCATTCGACCCGTTCTTATTTAGGTAATCCGACGAACCGGTCTATTTTCTCCGGTTAGCCCAGCAAACCGGTCTAGTATATAATATCCCATATCAATATTCTTTTTTTATATAATGATAAATATTTAATGTATATTAATATCTATTACTATAAAATATGGTTAAGAAAAAATGTTTGAAAAAACTCCAAAATAATTCATTGGTTTTCCCGCTTGGTTTTCCCGCTTGGTTTTCCCGCTTCGTTTTCATTTTCGGTCAATTTTTTTTAAATATTTTCATTATCCTGCCAGCATAACCGTAATTGACATTTAATTCTTTTTTTTTTTTTGAGAATTNTGAGAATTTGCCTAATTTTACTCATTCTTTTTAGGATGTGATTTTGTACCATTTAATTGGTGATAACTGATTTGTATTATACCCTTATAATCCGTTTCTTTTCCTTTTTTTATGATGGGATGGTATTTGGTTTATTCTTTTTGTACAGATTGAGTTCACTTGTGTTTTATTTGGATGGGATTTGATACATACAAATAATACACAAAATTGCAAAAAAAAAAAAAAAATGGATTATAAACAAATTTGTATAATCCTATATAAATCCATCATTCCTTCTGCAAAAACAGGGAAACACATCGTTAACATTACAGACAACACTCCAGATTTAAATGTTTGTTGATCTGCGTGAAGCAGTCATAGAACATCACATCGACCGAGCTCCCAGTGTCGATGAACACCCTTTTTACGTCAAAACCTGCTACCTCTGCCGTGATGACCAGTGCGTCATTGTGGGGTAGCAAGATCCCCTCCGCATCTTCTGCTCGAAAGCTGATCACTGGCATTCGACCAGTTATCCCAACCTCCTCCCTTTTGCGCTTCACAGCTCGCACATGCCCCTTTCGTGCATTGTTCGAATCTCCATCTGTGGGCCCTCCTGAGATCATATAAATTGTGCCTC